ATTATGGACTGTGAGAGAGAAGGAAGGTACAAAAGGAAGAATTCTTCTAAAGGCATAATATGTAAGTTAAATGTCCATTTATGCTAAGATCTGTGCCAAGTAGTAGCGGTTGGAAGGTTATGGTGAGGTATTAGTTTCACAATCATAAACTAGTTAAGGATTTAGATGACCATGACATATTAGGCCGCTTAAAAGAGGAAGAAAGGCAATTTATGAATGAAATGGCAAAATACAATATGCCTTTCCGATACATAGTTGTTGCTTTGAATGATAAAAATTCAGAAAATCTCACAAGTGTTACGCAGATGTATAAGACAAGATCTACATACAAGACGAGTAAGAGAAGTCAATTGAATGAAATGCAACATCTTCTGAGTCTTATTCATGTAGAGAATTCATGAAGAGAAATACTTGTCCTGAACCATATGATAAACATGGATGATTCAGATGCTTTTGCTAATATATTTTGGACGCATCGTTATTTAGTGAAGTTGTAGAGCATGTTTCATTTGGTGTTGATTTTTTATTGCACATACAAAACAAACAGGTACTGCATTCCTCCATAATGTAACTTTTGATTTATTTGATTTTGGGTTGGATGATGCTGATTATTTATTGTACCTATTGGTACCGGCTACCACTACTTAAGATTGTTGGTGATACATCAACGAAGTTGATGTTTTCGGTTGGATTTTCCTATCTAGAACATGAAAAAGAGGAAAACTTCACCTGATCACTAGAGAAGCTGGAACAATTGTTCGCTTCCGAAAAGTTGTTACCTAAGCTTTTGGTGATATGCTAGGAACTGGCGTTGATGAATTTCATGGAAGTTGTGTTCCAAAACTCAACTCATTTGTTGTGCGTGTTCCATATTTCAAAAAATGTTAGTATCCAATGTAGGGAGTATGTCGAATCCCATAGGCAAGAGCATGTTATGGATCTATGGAACAAAATCATGAATTCGAATATGGAGTTTGACTTTGTGGAACACTTGAAGCATTTTGAGGTAATATGTACTGATATTCCTTTATTTGTTAAGCATGTGCAAAAACATGGTTGACACCTTATATAGAAAGGTTTGTTGCTGCATGGACTCATGCAATCACACATTTAAGGAACACAACAACAAACATGTACATCGATGTGACTTTTAATTTGTTAGATTATTAATTATCAAACATGTTGTGTCTGCTTATTGAAGTGACTTTTCCTGTCTTTGTTTTTTAGGGTTAAGTCTCCTCATTGGAGACTAAAAACATGTTAACCACTAACCGTGGAGATTTATGCAGAATTTGGGATGCTGTGAATACCATGTTAAAGTTGCACTTATGTCCAATCAGAATATCATTTCGAAAAACTATTGTCAACATTGAGCATTTGTATAACACTCCAATTTACTCTAGATTGCACAGCTTCATTTCAAGACAATGTATGCAACACTTTGGAAAAGAGTTAGAAAGGGTAAAATTTGTTGTTTCTAACAAAGATGCATGTGGTTGTTTCATTAGAACAAGACATGGGTTACCTCGTGCGTGTCAACTTTGCAGTCTTCAAATACAAGGTGAGCTTGCATCGTTAGAATTAATTCATGTGTTTTGCAAGTAAATTATACATTAAAGAGCATGAGGTCAGTGAAGAAGATGATATGACACAATTGGATTTAGGAGAAGAATATGAAAAGTTGAAGAGGTATTTTAGTACATTTGATATTGTTGGCCAGAGGGTGATAAAAAAAGTCTTGGAATTAACACATCCATCCACAACTTTCATGTGTCCACAACCAATGAAGTAGAAGCCAAATAGGGGAATTAAGAAGAGTAAAAAGGGTCAAGATAATGATGTGCACCGTGATCCTTTGCAGTGGGAGTATGATGAGGGCTCGTATGGAAGTCAGTCTTCAAAGAGATCATTTATAAAACTAATTAAAAGTCAACTAGTTAGCCAGTCTTCAAGACTTCTTTACTTTTCTCAGTTTTCTGATTTCTTACATCAGTACATTGATGACATTTTTGATGTGGGCGAATATGGAAATTTTGATTTTTATACTATTGCAAGTTTAATTGGATGGAGCGAAGAGTCTTGGCCTTTGGTTCGAACAGAGTTGGATGCTAAAGTTTATCAGCACCAACAATGTTGATAGAGAAGAAATAGACATAAAAAGTGATGAAGTTGAAGTGATTGAAAATGGAGTGCATGTTGAAAATGATGGATCTCAGCACGAGGGAAGCAGTAGAAAATTCTAGTGAGGATAGTGCTACTGAAGAAAAAAACAATGCTTCAAGGCAAGAGCATGCATAGCCAGCAATGAGACAAAGAAAAAGGCCAAGGAACTTGAATTACTATGTTACAAACTCAAAAGGGGAGGAAGAAGAGCAATTACATAACTTAGCAATGTTTTTGTAGCAATAATGATCCTCTCAATTATGATGAAGCAGTCAGGCATGAGAAGTTGAGGAAAGTTATGCACTTGGAAATTGAAAGTATTGAGAAAAATGATAGTTAGAGCCTAGTCAATCTACCACCTAGAGCCAAGAAAGTTGGTGTCAAATGGATATACAAAATAAAATGCAATGAAAAAGGAAATTAGAGAAATACAAAGCAAGCCTTGTGGTTAATGGGTACTCACAAGAACATGGCATAAATTAAAGTAGAGTTTTTGCTCCTATGACAAGATGAGATACTATCAAGACTGACTTAGCACTTGCAACATGCAAGAAGTGGTAGGTATATCGGCTTGATGTTAAGAATGAATTCCTGCATGGTGAGTTGACGAAAGATATCTGTGTAGATCAACCACTTGACTATGAGAAAGGACGAAGAGACAAGGTCTACAAACTGAGAGAGACACTTTATGGCCTTAGGCAGGTTCCAAGTGTCTAGTATAGCAAGATTGAAGCATATTTCAATCAAGAGAGTTTTGAAAAGTGTCCTCATGAAAATACATTGTTTGTGAAACATAATGCTAACAAGATATTGATTGTCAGCTTGTATGTAGATGATCTGATCTACATAGGCAATAATCAACAGATGTTTGAAGGATTCAAGGAATCAATGAGGAAGATGTTTGCCATGACAGATATGGGGAAGATGAAATACTTTCTTGGGGTGGAAGTAAAGCAAGAAAGTGTATGAATCTTCATCTGCCAACATAAATATGCCTATGATCATAAGATTTAACATGGATCAATGCAATAAGGTTTGTAATCCTATTGTGTCGAGTTGCAGGTTGAACTAGGATGAAAATGACAAGCCAATTGATGCCATAAGCTACAAGCAGATGGTGGGAAGCTTGATGTATTTGCTTGCTAGCAAGCCTGACCATGCCTATTCTGTATGCTTGGTAGCTAGATACATGGTGAGACCAACTGAAATTCACCTGATAGCTACAAAAGAATCCTATGGTATCTAAAGAGAACTATGAGCCTGAGAGTTTAGTACAAGATGAATGATGAAATGGTATTGCAATGGTGATCAAACTCTGATTATGCAAAACATAATGATGACAGAAAAATCACTACAAGGTATTTGTTCAAGCTTAGACCAGGTCTTATATCATGGTCTTCAAAGGAACAACGCGTTGTGACTCTTTCAAGCACTAAAGCTGAGTTTGTTGCAGCACTTCCATGTGCTTGTCAAACAGTGTGGCTTCGAAGCATTCTTTACAAGTTTGGTCAGACTCAAAGCCAAGGTACAATTATCACGTGTGACAACAACGTCACAATCAAGTTGTCAAAGAATCCAGTGAAGCATGAAAGATGCAAGCATATAAATGTAAAGTTTCATTTTTTTAGAGACTTAACCAAAGATGGTACAATTGAGATGAAACATTATAACACTGAAGAGCAACTTGCACATAGTTAATTGTAACTATGTGCTCACCCTGTGATGGACAAACACTAATTGCAATTATGATGGGCGAGCACATAATTAGAATTATCTATTTTTTCCCATGTATTTCAATTTTTTTTCATGAAAATAAGTAACGTCAAGAAAATATAACTACCAGTTATAAACGTATTTAAAATATAGCAACCAAAAACATTTTTAACACGGTGAGCTCTTGTCATGTTTGTTTTCTCCCAACTAAATCTCATCCTTGGAGATCGCAATAAACTCCAAACAATTTGATTCAAAGAGCACTTGAAACCACCAAGTAACTTGGCAGCCCCAACAACACAAAAAGGATAAGTGTTTCCAAGTAAAGTTACTCCGTAAGAAAGCTCCATGTCCCATCTCTTGCAATGATTCCACCAGCAACATGATTTTCTCTTCTTCACATGCAACATAAGAGTAATTTTTATGAAGCTTTCCGAGGGATTTAGATTCCTTAGTATCAAACATTTTATCATAAGTTGTTAGGTAGTTAGGAGTCCGTTATTAGTTGGTTATGGTTAGTTGTTCACTCAATAAATGTTAAGAGAATAGATGGTACTTGTGTATATTGAGGTGATCATAGAAGAACAATCATAACTTCATGTTCTCTACAATCTCTATTTAGCTTTTCTCCTCTTTTTGAGATCTCTGCTGTGCCATCCACATCAAGTAGAGAAACTCTTCAAGTTCTACTTCCATTGTTCCTCTAACACCGTTGTTGGTTCCACCTCCGAATCAATCAATCAAGTTCTTTCTATATTCTTCCAGGCGAATATGAAGCAAGTATTGAATGGGAGAAGCTACCTTCATACTTGGTCCTGATTAATTGAAGAACATTAATCATCATGAGATATTATTACAATATTACAAAACAGAATATCCTGATATCATAGTTAAAGGAGGGATCCAGCTATCATTACATTACATTACACACTTAAACAGAACCTTATATACCAATCAATTCATTAATTTACTTACAAAGTTGGCCTTTATAAGTCTTGCATCATATCTTTTCAAAATGGATCAACAGGGGGGCCAATGTCTGATCAGTGAGTTTTACAAATAGATTGGTCCATCGCAAGGTTTGAAATTCTTTTCCGGCCTCCATATCCTTCCAGTTGCTTACTCTATGTCGTTGATCTCTTATAAACATAAGATTTTGAGAAAAACAAGAAGGCGGATAATTCTACCACACTAAGAACAGCCAGAAGAGCATAGAAGTAATCAAGATGCGCACGATTAAGATTACTTGCAAACCAGCCATCCCCGCCATCTTTACTTGTTCCTTTTTGAATAGCAGAGATGAGAAAGCTACTCAAAAAGCTCCCAACCCCAAAAATACTTAAATACAGAGAAAGACCCATACTTCTCAATTCATCTGGGACCTGGTCATAGAAAAATTCTTGCAGACCTACCATTGTAAAGACATCAGATACTCCAAACAGAACATATTGAGGAATCAACCACCAGATGCTCATAGGTATTGTCACACCTGGCATATCAATTAGCCCGTGGTCACGTGCCACTTTGAGTCTTTTCATCTCCACAAAAGCTGCAATTACCATAGAAATTACAGAAAAAAGCATCCCAGTTCCAATTCTCTGTAGCATAGTGATGCCAGAGGGTTTGCCAGTAAAGGTTCTTGCTATAGGAACGATAATACGGTCATAAATAGGAATAAAAAGAACAATAGAGAGACTGATAAAGGATTGAAGAGAAGCAGGGGGTACATAAAAACCAGGCAAAATTTTCCTGTCCAATGTAACACCTTGTTTCGTAAAGAAGGTAGAAGATTGGGAAAACACAATGGCAAAAATTAAACTCGTAGCCCATATTGGAACAAGTCTGAGGATTGCCTTGGCTTCTTCAACCTCAGAAACACTACAAGCTTTCCCCTTTTCCTTTGTTCCTTCTGATGCAATTAATGCTTTATTCAAGAAACTGCCATATTTAAGAGTAAATTGCAAGGCAAAGTTATTTCCCAGTACAAATTTAATTTAATAATACACAATATGACAATCTCAAATATTGTGATGACTATGGTAGAGAGAAAATTGCAAATTATTTAGACAGAAAAATATTCGTTTGCAATTAGAAAGACGTGCGAATTTATGAAACAAGATTCAGAAGAAAAGTTGAGTTGATACATGGTAAACATAAACTTCATTTATGCACTAGCTGCCACACACGAATCAATCTAGAGAGAAATAAAAAAAAATTGACACAGATTGAGGTTGTTTATTATTTGGCAATGACAAAAGCTGTTGGCAAAATTGATACAACACAAGACTATGAAACAAAGGTATGGAAGAAAAGGGGTTTTCCTTATTACATGATGCTAAGCTAAATTCCTTTGCATAAGTTTAGAAGAATGTAAATTGTATATCTTATCTTGTTTCCAACATCTATATGAATGGGAGTGTAGTTACCTAAATTGTTGAGAAGGTTGATGAAGCAGAGAAGGAGGAGGTTCCTCTTGAGAAGTTTGGAAGTTGGTGAGTGCAACAAAAAACACCCTACCAATTCTGGAAAAAGGGCCCCGTTGTTGATCCTCTGGGATGTTAAAGCGGTAAGTCCAAGTTCCAAGCAAGAAAAGAGACAAGGCTATTAGCATTCCAATGCAAGGGATGCCAAAACCAAGAACCCAACCAACATTGTCCTGAATATAGTTCAAGATGGATACAGAGACAAAGACACCTGCAGTAAAGGTAAAATACCACCAATTGAAAAAGGAGCTTCTAGACCTGCGTTCCTGTGGATGGTTGATATCAAATTGATCAGCTCCAAATGCCTGAACACAAGGCTTATGTCCACCTTGTGCAAATGCAACAAGATATAGAGAAAAGAAGAATAAAATTGCTTGGCCGTCGACATTAGAAGGCAGCGTAGCGGACAGCGTCAATAGGCTCAGGGCCTGAAAGCATATGAGATTAATATGATGAGTAGGTGAAACTGTTAACAGAGTATTTAGAATAGAGAATAGACAAACCAGAATATAAATAAGGGATGCAATAGCGATGGTGCGGTAACGGCCAAGAAAAGAGTCGGCAAGAAAAGCACCGAGCAGAGGGAGTAAGGAGGCGGTTCCAGACCAGATGTTGACGTTCTCGGCTGCGGTTACGGTGGATTGACCGAGTGGTCCGGTCAAATAATTGATGAGGTTTGAAGTAATTCCATAGTAAGCAAACCTCTCAGCCACTTCCACACCTAGTTTGAAAAATGAATGAATCAAAAGCAATCAGATCAGATTAGAGATGAATGAATGAATGAATCAACATTACTTTGCTTTACTTACTTATAATGAAAGAAGCAGCCTTCCAACCACCAGATGTTGATCGTAGGACTGGGCGACCCTTGAAGTCGACAACACCATCTATAGTCTCCGACTCCAGTAGCAGCGGAGTTTCAGAATCGCCGGCCATTTCCTGCACTCGAGGGAGGGAAATTAGCTAAATGATTTGGCATCTCAATCATGGATGGACTTTAGTAATTTTGTCTTGCAAATATGCTATCCCTATTTTCTATTTATTTTTAAAATTTTGAGTTTAATTTTAATTTTTTTAATGATGCGATGTTATCTAATATGATGTGTCAATGTCAGATTATTTTAAATAATTTTTTTTTTTAATCAAGAAATTTTGGCATTAATTCAAAAAACCATACAAACCAAGACGATCAAATGATCCAGCCCACAAAACAATCAAACTACCTTAAGACAAAATAAACCTAGCTATACGTGGTCTAAGCTTTGGACTAGTCCACCCTCTATACATTATATTGTAAATAATTCTATCAAGGCAATTCCTATTATCAGTTCTATGATTAAAACAGGCTTCGTTTCTATAAAGCCAGATCTCATGAAGAGTTTCTGTAAGGGCAAGCCTAACCAGATCAGATTGCCAGCCTTTCCCACCATAATTGCTCAGAGCCCATTGCATTTCCTCTTGCCATCTTTTTGGAGTGTGTTGAATTGCCAACCACTGAAGAGTACCACTCCATATTTGCTTCAATTCCACACAACAAAAAAATAAGTGATCAATGGTTTCCTCTTCATTGCAAAAAGCACATTTGTTATTGTTGATCATGCCAAATCTGAACAGTCTTGACTTGGTTGCTAGCTTTCCATGACAGATCGTCCAGAGAGTAATAATTGCCCGGGGTCTAGCTCTATTGTGAATGATTAATTTGGCCCATGGAACATTAGGAGTAATAGGTAGGAGGCTTTGATACACTTTCCTCCCATGGAATTTACCCATCTGCAGCATAGCATCCCATGTACTCTGTATGGTCATTAGCTTGTCCCTTTGTATAAGAATCGCTTTGAAAATTCCAGAGTCAGATCCCTTAACCATTCTAGTCAGAATATCTTCATGTCTCAAGTAGTAAGCATGTATCCAACGCACCCACAAATCATCAGATTTTGCATAGATATTCCAGAGAAGTTTTATCACAAACGTACTATTCCACACTTCCAAATTCATCACATTTAGTCCGCCTTGCACATGTGGTTTACAGACATTTTCCCACGCTACTGGACTTTTCCTGCTTATATTATTACCACCTGACCACAGAAAGGAGCGACATATAGCATTGATTTTGTTGATCACCGTTTTTGGAAACCAAATGCATTGCATCCAGTAGGTTGTGATAGCATAAAGCACACTCTTGATGAGTTGCAGCCTACCCGCATAACTCAACAATCTAGAGCTCCAGTGAGTTATCCGGCTAAGTAATCTGTCCAACAGCGGCATGTAATGGATCACAGCAAGACCCTTACTCGTCAACTGGATACCAAGATACCTAAAAGGGAAATACCCTTCTTTGTATGAAGTTAGATGGAGGATGCCGCACTTGACACTCGCAGATACATTACCAAAATACACCCTGCTCTTGGAAGGGTTTATTTTCAAACTTGTAGAATCCAGGAATTTGTTCAAAGTTGAATAAAGTATTTCCACAGACACATGATCACCTCTAGAGAACAACAAAAGGTCATCAGCAAAGGTTAAGTGAGTTATTTGCAGCCTTTCACATTTAGCATGGTGGTTAAACTCTGGATTCCTTTGCATCTTGAGAAGTAACCTGCTGAGATATTCCATGATGATTACAAACAGGAGAGGAGATAATGGGTCCCCCTGCCTAATTCCTCTTCTAGCATTGATCCTATCAGTATACTGGCCATTGATATTAAAGCGATAAGAAACTGTAGTCACAGTGGTCATAATCCAATCTACAAATTTCTTAGGTAAACCAACTTCACTAAGAATATTTTCGAGAGCGCCCCAATCAACCATGTCATATGCTTTTTGTAGATCTAGTTGGACCATGCATCTAGGGGTACCTGTATTCCTGTTATAACCTTTTAACAGCTCCATAGCTAGTAAGATGTGAGAATGGATTTTCTGGCCTAGAACAAATGCCGCCTGCGCTTTACTGATGATGTTGCCCAAAACCTTCCCAAGTATGGTTGTGAGAATCTTGGATATGATTTTGTAAATTGTGGTGCAACCAGCAATAGGCCTGTAATCTTTCAAGGTTTTGGCGTCCGGCTGTTTGGGAATAAGAGTAACGGTAGTTTCATTGAAAGCTTTATAAATCATATTCTGCTCAAAGAATTCTGTAACAGCTTCAATAACATCCTTATCAACAATGTCCCAGCTTGCTTTGAAAAATTTTCCACCGTAACCGTCAATACCTGGGCTCTTGAGGTCTCCTATCCCTTTTAATGCATTAGTGATTTCAACAACAGATATTGGTGAAATTAGATCAGCTCTTTGTTCCATGGACAGTTGAGGCCCTTCCCTCATGACTTCAATATCTATCATATTAATTCTGGATTCCCTGGTGCCCATCAGTTTCCCATAAAACTCACATACCTCCCTTTCTATGTCCTCCTGTTTATGTATACAAGTACCATCCTCTCTATAAAGCTAGCTGATATGTGTGGTTGTAGTTCTGGATTTGAGGTAAGCATAGAAGAATGATGAATTCGTATCGCCTTCTCTAAGCCAATTAATCTTAGTCCTCTGTCTCAGCATTTGGTCCTGAAATTCTTGAAGCTGGATCAAATTATCAGTACAGGTTTTAACTTTCTCAATAGTCTCAGTGTTCATACGATCCATAATGAGACTTTCCTGGTTTTGTAATAATTCATTCCTTGCTTGGGCAATGGTCTGATGGAGGTTTGAAATTTGTTTACTCAATCTGCAAAGGGGAGCTTGTAGTCTCAGCAGTTTAAACCACAATCTAGCCATAGGTCTGCCTGTGATTTCCTTATTTCAGCTCTGTTTGACAGTGTCATGATATTCTGGTATTTGCACCACACTATTAGTAAACCTGAATTTCTTGTGCACTCCTCTGTTAATCTTCTCAGCATTCAAACTTAACAGGCAGTGATCAGAGATACTAGGAGGGAGAATTTCCAGCTTCAAATCCATACTATCCTGCAGCCAATCTATATTACCAAGAACATGGTCAATTTTTGAGTAAATTGTACCTATAGAATGTTTATTTGTCCATGTAAAATAGTCGCCCGTGCTATCCTTCTCATACAAGCCAGCATGATTCATCAAATTTCTGAGATCTTCAACCTCTCTCTCAGTCACCAGGTTACCACCAATTCTGTCCATAGATTTGGTAACATTGTTGAAATCGCCTATAAGGAACCATGGACCCTGTTGACTGTCATGGATATGTTTCAGATCTTCCCACAGTTTCTTTCTTTGCTCTAGTTGATTCATTGCATAGATAACTGTCATCCAAGTTTGGAACACTCCATTGACATCATGGATACCACAGTGTATCATCTGTGAAGTGCATTTTATCACTCTGACATCACATTTTCTCTCATCCCAGTTGATCCAAATTCTGCCATTGTAATGTTCATTGTAATTGTCATGGTATTGGCCTTTGAGGTTCAGCTGATCTCTGATTTTCCTCGCCTTGTCATGCTTTACTCTTGTCTCTAGTAAAATTGCAATCTTAGGGTGAAGGTTAAAGAGACAGGAGCTAATCTCCTTTAACTTCCCCACTTTATTCAGCCCCCTCACGTTCCAAGATGTAATCATTGGCTAGTATTTTGAGACTCTATAAGATCCTTCGAAATCTCAAGAGCCTCAAAGCTGTTGGCACAAACAATCTTATTTATACTGTTGGGGTTGTCTTGTGGTTTACCTCTATCCTTACCACTTCTTATGACTTCTATCCACTTCTCCATAACTGCCTCAACCTGCTCAATAATGTTCACTCCATTTTCTAGAGGTGGATCAGCAGCCTTACTCACCAGATCAGTGGGACACTCACCTAATGTATTTCCCTTAGCATTGTTCTCCACAGCAGGGGAATTAACCTTGTCTCCTACAATGTTGTTGTTTCCTTCAGTCCTAGGAATCCTTTTAGTAGTGCTGTCCATCACAGTTTTCACATTGTCTACATGTTGTGGTGCAGGTTTTGGTTTCCATTGTTGTGTGACTTTGGGTTTATCACAGCTATGACCAACCTTTTGACACTTGCTGTAGAACAGGGGTCTCCATTCATACTCAATAGGTTGTTGGATTTTCTCTCCTTCATTATCCCCAATGGTAATTATTTGTGGCAGTTCCTTTGTAATGTCCGTTTCCATAAGTATGCGCGCATATGATACTCTGAGTCTGTTTGCCGTACATTCGTCTGTCATGATGGGGTTTCCCAGGGCACTTCCTATCTTGTTTAAACTTGTATCACCCCACAGAATGATGGGTAGTTGAGGCAATTTCACCCAAATTGGTAATGTTCGCAGGATTTCATCTTTGACCTTGAAACCTGGCCTCCATTCTCGAATCAGCAGAGGGATGTTTCTTATCATGTATGGTCCTCTCAATAGCACTTCATCACGATCCTTGAATGATTTGAATCGAAGAATAAAATAACCTTCATCATTGTAATACATATCTGGAAATTGAACAAAATTCCAGTTCTTGGTCATGAAATTCTTAACTGCATTCATGTTAAGGTCAACTCCCATTGTATAGAGGATCAAGGAGGATTCCCAAAATTTAACTTCAGAGATAATGTCTTCGTCTTCAATTACAACTTCCAATTTTCCATTCACAACTTGGGGTGCGGTGAATTTCATCGCCCTACCCTTCGTCGGATTTCGATTATCCTTCAGTACATCTACCCATAGCTTGCGACCTTCCTCAGATGCTCCTTCATGGATAGGTTTTCCATTCTCAGGTTGCTTAGGTATCATAGCTTGTATTGCATCCATCGATTGAGTGGCGGTTCCCATTTCTTCTTGATTGGGTTTTCTAGTAAGTGCATCTAGGGTTTCAACTTCCAGAATCCCTTCTTCAGTTAAGCTAGTGTTGCTCGCCATATGGTTCCTCAGCTCTAATTGTTGTTGTGCAGGTGACACCGGTGGGGTTGTTGATGGCGGAGGCACCGTATTCTTCGGCGGCCGCCCTCACCCTCTCCCTGTCATTCTCCTTTTTATTAAAAGATAATTAAATATTATATTAACATCTAATAAACCATAATTCAATGTGAAAATGGTAAATATAAATAAATTCTAGCTTGATTATAAATTTTAATTATTACCTATTTTATATAAAATTATGTCATGGATTATAGCCTTTTATCTTTGTTTTTTAGTGGGGAAAAACCTAAAATTATATGGAGTAGAAAAATAAAATATAAATTAATTTGTTAAATCTACTATAGTCTATTATGTTTTTTGAACACTGTTAAAAAACCTAAAACTTTGGGATGGAGAAGAAACATATTGAATATTTTTAGATGTAATATTCCATAAGTCAATTTGAATTCGATGAATATAAAAAATATTGAGCTTTATTTTTTAATTTTAATTGTTATGCATATGTATAAATTATGGGTAATTCATTTGTAGTCTCTTAAATTAGTTTCTTAGAGGTTAAGAAACCAAAATTTTGATGATGGAGAAGAAGAAAAATATAGAAGTCTTTTACATCTATTATACTATAATACAACGTGATTATGGTTAACACAAATAACATTGATCTAAAATATTTAATTTTAGTGATTACCCATTTTTGATATAATTTATTTGTCATTCATTTATAGTCTTTTAACTCTGTGGCGTACTGGCGAGGAAACAAGAAATTTGGTGATGGAGAAGAATCATATTGAATATATTAACATCTAATAAACCATAATTCAATGTGAAAATGGTAAATATAAATAAATTCTAGCTTGATTATAAATTTTAATTATTACCTATTTTATATAAAATTATATCGTGGATTATAGCCTTTTATCTTTGTTTTTTAGTGGGGAAAAACCTAAAATTATATGGAGTAGAAAAATAAAATATAAATTAATTTGTTAAATCTACTATAGTCTATTATGTTTTTTGAACACTGTTAAAAAACCTAAAACTTTGGGATGGAGAAGAAACATATTGAATATTTTTAGATGTAATATTCCATAAGTCAATTTGAATTCGATGAATATAAAAAATATTGAGCTTTATTTTTTAATTTTAATTGTTATGCATATGTATAAATTATGGGTAATTCATTTGTAGTCTCTTAAATTAGTTTCTTAGAGGTTAAGAAACCAAAATTTTGATGATGGAGAAGAAGAAAAATATAGAAGTCTTTTACATCTATTATACTATAACACAACGTGATTATGGTTAACACAAATAACATTGATCTAAAATATTTAATTTTAGGGATTACCCATTTTTGATATAATTTATTTGTCATTCATTTATAGTCTTTTAACTCTGTGGCGTACTGGCGAGGAAACAAGAAATTTGGTGATGGAGAAGAATCATATTGAATATATTAACATCTAATAAACCATAATTCAATGTGAAAATGGTAAATATAAATAAATTCTAGCTTGACTATAAATTTTAATTATTACCTATTTTATATAAAATTATGTCGTGGATTATAGCCTTTTATCTTTGTTTTTTAGTGGGGAAAAACCTAAAATTATGTGGAGTAGAAAACTAAAATATAAATTAATTTTTTACATCTACTATATTCTATTATGTTTTTTGAATACTGATAAAAAACCAAAAATTTTGGGATGGAGAAGAAACATATTGAATATTTTTAGATGTAATATACCATAAGTCAATTTGAATTCGATGAATATAAGAAATATTGAGCTTTATTATTTAATTTTAATTGTTATGCATATGTATAAATTATGGGTAATTCATTTGTAGTCTCTTAAATTAGTTTCTTAAAGGTTATGAAACCAAAATTTTGGTGATGCAAAAGAAGAAAAATATAGAAGTCTTTTACATCTATTATACTATAATACAACGTGATTATGGTGAACACAAATAACATTGATCTAAAATATTTAATTTTAGGGATTACCCATTTTTGATATAATTTATTTGTCATTCATTTATAGTCTTTTAACTCTGTGGCTTACGGACGAAGAAACAAGAAATTTAGTGATGGAGAAGAATCATATTGAATATATTAACATCTAATAAACCATAATTCAATGTGAAAATGGTAAATATAAATGAATTCTAGCTTGATTAAAAATTTGAATTATTACCTATTTTGTATAAAATTATATCATGGATTATAGCATATTATCTTTGTTTTTTAGTGGGGAAAAACCTGAAATTATGTGGAGTAGAAAACTAAAATATAAATTAATTTTTTACATCTACTATATTCTATTATGTTTTTTGAATACTGATAAAAAACCAAAAACTTTGGGATGGAGAAGAAACATATTGAATATTTTTAGATGTAATATACCATAAGTCAATTTGAATTCGATGAATATAAGAAATATTGAGCTTTATTATTTAATTTTAATTGTTATGCGTATGTATAAATTATGGGTCATTCATTTGTAGTATCTTAAATTAGTTTCTTAAAGGTTATGAAACCAAAACTTTGGTGATGCAGAAGAAGAAAAATATAGAAGTTTTTTTTTATCTATAATACTATAATACAATTTGATTATGGTGAACACAAATAACATTGATCTTAAATATTTAATTTTAGGGATTACCCATTTTTGATATAATTTATTTGTCATTCATTTATAGTCTTTTAACTCTGTGGCTTACTGACGAAGAAACAAGAAATTTAGTGATGGAGAAGAATCATATTGAATATATTAACATCTAATAAACCATAATTCAATGTGAAAATGGTAAATATAAATTAATTCTAGCTTGATTATAAATTTTAATTATTACCTATTTTATATAAAATTATATCATGGATTATAGCCTTTTATCTTTGTT